CGCCCTTTCCCTTAAGGTTCACACACACACACACACACACACACACACACACACGGAGAATCCCCCCCTCCTCCTCGCCCTTTCCCTTAAGGTTCTTATGGCTGGTCAAATAACTAAAAAAGCAAGTTAGCAGAAGAAAATAAAACAAAGTTTAATGACATGTATAGATGGAAGAAACTCAGGAAAAACTGAGCAACAACTCGCCAAAATGGCAAGGTTTCTTATCTTAAATACTATTTTCATCTAAAGACAAAGGAGGATGTTGGAGGTGGGGGGAGTCAGCTATAGGAGATAAACAGAAAAGCGCAGTAGACAAGAGTAAGGTTACCATGCAGATTTAAGTCCTCGCCTTCTACATTGATAAGAGTTTCTATACATAAGATCATCCCCCTTCTTCCTCATACAGAGAGGGAGATACCTTTACAAATGGAGATTTTCCTTGCAAATGTAACTGTCTCTTACAAAGGATAACTTCTGCTTTTACTTGGTTTTCAGAGCTTTGATAAGAATGGGCTTAGCAAGGACCCTCCCAGTCTATCCATATCCAGAGTTATCTATGGTGATGGACTGTCCTGGGGACAGGCCTTCTATCTTAAATTCTTTTAGGCAGTTAGTGGGGGAGGAGGTCAAAGTTTCTTTCAGAGTCTTTTGTTCTTGAAAATAATCAAGGTAAAGGGACATATTTTGAGGTGGCCAATTCTGATCCCCCACAACACACACCCAGACACACAAACACACACTCACGGCTACAGTGTGAGACCTGATGGAAGCACGAACCAAGGATGTAAAGCTTAGAAGGGCGATTCATTCCAGGGCAAAGGCAGTGAGTGAAAGAGGCTTCAGGAAGAGACACCTGGGAGTTCCCAGTCCACCATTCCTGGTAAACTCCCATGAGCATTAGTTGCCTTCTTTGCCCCTAGACAAGAGGAGAGCACTCATCGAGGGTGGCCAGTGACTCTTCCTATTTTGCACTATTCTAGCAAGACATGCTCTCCTCCTCCCCAGGAGAGTGCCACCGTCAGTTGAGGCACTCACTTTCTGAGCTGAGAGGACCACCTTCTCGTGTGCCAAGCAGTGGGCACAGTGGTTTGCCGAGGACGCTACACTGATGATCCAGGGGCCTGGGGATGAGCTGGCAGAGCCAGAGTAAAGGGGGGCCCAGGGCTCTGAGGTCAAAGAACATCTGCAGTTAAGGAATTAAGGAGTGAGGAGGCCGGAAGGATAGCGTGACGTGGGCGGAGAGAATAGGATATTGGGCCTTCACATTTGCAGAGGTGGAGCAGTTCTGGGTGGTGAGAATAGGGTGTGGGCATGGGCCTTGGGAGAGCTAACATTTATTAAATACCATGTCTCTTGGCACTGAGCCAGTAAGGGACAGCGCTAGGTTTGAACCCAAGTCTTCAATAAGAGGTCATCACAGAAAAGACTACTTTCTTAAAACATATTTTCGCTTCTAGAATATATTCCAGAGTTCTCCCACCAAGAAGTAATAATCACAGCTCACACTTAAAATATTTTATTATGTGTCAAAACACTATTCTAGGCACTTTACCTACTTTAACTCATTGAGTTCTCTGTTGAGTTCAGTGACTCCATTGATTCATCAATCAATGAAACTCACTGAAAATTCTGTTAAATGGGTACTCTTGTTATATCCTCCATTTTACAGATGAGAAAACTTGAGGCACAGCACAGTTAAGTTATATGCCCAAAGTCACCCAGCTTGTAAATAGCGAAGCCAGGATAGGAATTACAGAGTCCATGCTTATAACCTTGACATTATACTGCCTCCCAGAAGATAAGTGTCGTGTGACCTTGGCTGATGGTCTCGGTCGTCCATTCTTGCATCCTCTGTGATTTCTTCCTCTTGACACAACATGCATTGAGTTCACAGTAAGTGAGGTATGACACAGAAGGATGAGGCTTGATCCCTGATTTCAGTAGCCTCAGGATCCAGTGGATGAGGCCACAAGGTTCGAGACAAACAAGATTACAAGTCAGAGTTTTATAGCCAAGGAAGAGACAGAGTGCTTTAGGAGAAGGGAAAGAAATAGTTCTGGCTCAGGGATCCGGGGAGATGATCCTACCATATTAGAGTTGGATCTTGACAGGCATGTCCTAGCTAAAGGGAATAGGGGCCAGAGAGGAAGAGGGTGGCTCAGGGCAAGAATGGAGTGAGTATGCAAAGTACAAGAGGACACAAGCACTTCTGTAGGTCCCCAGCGTGCACTCCCGACTGCATCACAGAAGCAGTGCGTGTTCTCGAGGGAGCGGTTGGCCCCATTGATTAGCCATGCTCCCTCTGCTTGGGTAGTCAAGAGCTAATTATTCTTTGTGAGGTCACAAAAGTAAAGAATTTGCAGATAAGGCTGACCAGGGCTGATGTTCCCTGGTTGGTGTTCATGATGTGCTTCACTGGGTTAGGAAAATGAACAAATAGGTCATTTGGAGCCAAGTAGAGGAATACCTCAACCACCTGGGTCACAGTCAATAAACAGAAAATAAGCAAAAAAGGCCTCACACACCCAAAATAGATGTCCCAAAGTCTTTGAGCTAAAGCTCCTGAGCTCCCCTGATGGAGCGGCCTCCTTGTCCGGGGCAGCCCGCAAACCGTGGTTATTATCCTTTCCTTACCACACCTCTCTGACAAGTTGCTTCTCTGCATCAAATGAGTAACAGGTTATAACAAAGGGTCTACTTCAAGCAGACATGGGACCAGGTGAGAAGAATGACAGCAGGAGAGGAAACAGATCAGAAGCTCTGCATCACGGGCATGAGTGTCAGGGTAACCATCTGACACACCACAGGGGCTTGGGGCTCTGCTGCGTCACAGCAGGTTCACTCGTGGCTAACGTGATGCTCTTGAGTCATTGTGTTTGGTTTACTCTTTTATAGAGGGTAGGAAAATATGTAACATGTTCTGTGAAGATTTCCTTCCAAGACAGTTAGAAGGAAGTTTGGTGTGTAAAGCCTGATGACTGTGCTCTAGAATGATCCGTTCTTTGATAGAACAGGGAAGCAAAGGCATCCCTGCATGTGCATTGGCTCCTAAAAGCAAGAGGGCGTTTGCATGGCGAGCTGTGCCTGAGCCCGTGCTCTCTGCGGCTTGCGTAGTGATCATGGGGCTGGGACACTGCGTGGCCTCAGACACAGTAAATTGTTTCAGCTGAAACTTCTCCCCCTGCCCCGCAGGAGGGCCACCCTGAAGAGCCGGAAGCAGAGGAACAAGTCCACGAACAGCAACCCCAGCAGCAGGAAGAGTACTGAACCGTCATGGCAGCTCTCGACACTTCCGTTTTGCATGGGAACTTTTCTTCTGGAGAATTGGAACATATGTGGCCTCAAGCTCAACAGAAACCAGTTGTTCCCAACCTGCTGTTAACATCAACGCACTGTTGCATACACCAGCCACTGCGCTCAGTTCCCATTTCCTTTGCCAAGACGCATTAGCAGCCGGCTGTTCGGCGGCCTACCTGAGAGATCATGGGGTCACATAACTTCAACTTCACCACTTGGCTGCTTGAGATTGGTTCTGCTCTTTTCATTTCTTTCCAGAACAACTCTCCCCACCCCACCACCACCACCAACACCCCCTTTTTATCCTGGTGTGAAACAATGGTAATTTGATATATGGTATTTATATTGGCATTTCTCAACCCAGTGTCACTAGATGTCACACACATTTGTGGTGCTTTGATGTTTGCGAGTCTAACCTCTGAACGTAAATTTGGTCAAGTAATAAATTGGAACAAAGGGAAAGAGATACTTGATATGAAAGCCATAATGACAGTGACTTGTTTCATGGGGAAAAACACAGTTAGTTTCTCCCTCTACTCACAACACTAAAGGGAAAAAAAATGGAATCAAAACTAGGACTTCAGGGCCTAGCAGTGTTCTATGTCAGCATGTTAGACAACCACACAGTATGTTGTTAAGTTTTGAAAGACATTCACTCAAGGAAAACACCATCTCCACTTGGCCCTCTAACCACTTGCCCCTGCCGTCCCCCACCCAGGTTCTCATGCTATTTTTCTTTCTCAGGGTCCTCTTTGGTGGGCAGCCACTCTCCCCAAGAAGCTGTCATCAGTTATCTGCAGTCCAGAGAGGGTCTGCATAGGTACAGGTCCTCCTGCCTCAGTCCCTCCCTCCTTGTGTGGGTTTCAGCCCAAATCCCGTCATCCACACTAGGGGACTCCTACTAAAGGATGACTTCAGGGTGTGCAGCCCCGAGTTTCAGGGTTCTGCACATCATGCTGCACACTTGCTGGAAGGCTGGAAGTGAAGACCTTATTAATAGGAGCATAATGCCAAGGGAGAATCATGGTTCTGAAGTCTGGTGTTGACACTGGAATGACAGCACAGAAAAGTCTATGATTCCCAATACCTTCTGGACTAAGGAATTTCCCCTCTGTAATACAAGGACCCTCCTTGTCATTGACCTTTGCTAAACCACGGCAATTCATAAATAGAGGAAACATTAATGAATTAAAAGCATTCCTTATTTTTTTAACTAATATTTGCACATTTTCTTAGTATCTTTCCAAATCTTGGCCTTTTTTTTTTTTTTCCTTTGACAGATGGTATCCCTTCCTGGATCATTCATTTCACTTGGTTTCTAACTTTAGATTTACTTTCACTTGTTATTTGACTTAGCAGGTGCAACAAAAACAAGAAACAAGTGTGCCCACCCCACTTTCCTCTTAACTGAAACGCTTAAAATAAATTTCTGAATTATGTATCATAAAGCTTTGACATTGCTTTATTAATTGATGAACTACTAATTCTAAAGTCGAGCATTGAAGCTTCCCACCAAAAGAAGTCTTCTCAAAATAAATCTTTTGCGGCAAAGTGGTATTTATTGAGTTATATGTGAAAAAGTTTGCTTGTATTTTTGAGGTTGTTACAACACACTGTGCAGAATTGGACACATGTTCTGTGGTGTTTGGTTTCCCTTTCTTCTCTCTCCTGCTTGCTCTGCACTACAGCGGCAGCTCATTTCTCTCAGGCTGGAAAGCCTGGCTCTCAGCAGTGACATCCTCCTACACCTGGTTACAGGTAGTGGTTGTGCTATATGCAGCATCATGCTTAACGGTGTGTCCCCCCCAAAGCCTGTTGCACCCACTGATTTTCCTTTTTTTAAAATAGCTCTTGTAAAGAGACACAATAAATAATTCCATGCAGAACATATTTCAGTGGTTCCTAGGCAGTTCTTTACCTACTCTGGACATCTCAGTAACACCCAGTGCCAGGTGGATCATGACCCAAACTCCTGTCATGTGGGTGCACATGAATGGAGAGCAGGGTGTTGTCTTCTCCAGAAACCACTGGATACTGTGTAACTTGCTTAAGTGTCACTAGTGACACTCAGCCACCTCCGTTCCTCCCCAAATCCCCAACCTTCTCAGCTATAAACACACTGGTCAGATAGCCTGCAAAGAGAACTTTCCCCAGTCATCCTACTTCATTCTCCTTCCCGAAGTCTTGGGACAGACCATTTATTTAGAGAAGAGCTACAAATTCCTCTTTCTGTCCCCATCTGAAACATCTTCCATTGTGCTGCATCGCATGTGACATCACTGATGCTTTGGGGAATCTTTAACAGCTAAGTTTCTGAGTCCTCTTTGGCTGCACCCCAGCTTCTGTGCAGACCACCTCTTGTTTCCCAGGGCTGCTTCCTTCCTGATGGCAGCACCCCATCGTTCTCTCATCTTGGCATCCAGGACGCGCTTTCCTCCGTGGCCCCCTGTCACTGTGCTGGGCCGAGAAGTATCGCTTGGGGTGTGCTCTGCTCCTCCCTCTCGGAAGCCGGACTGCATTCTTAGTCCCCCACCTACCCACCCACCGTGGCTGGTTTTAGCACTTCCACTGCCCGTGTCAGATAGGAAGTGATTGAAGCAGGGGCCAAAGAGAGAGCCCGTCTTCTTTCTAAGCAGAAAAGCAGAAAAAGAAAAGACAAAGACAAACACCCTGTTGACCTGAGAGAAGTAAACTCCAGAAGGGAACCAAGAGCTCCTCCCTTCCCTGGTGAGTATTTCCATTATTCCGTTAAGGTTTAATATGCATTCAAATTACTTTTACTAAGTAGTACACCATAAAGCTTTTGTTATATATTAAATGTAAACTGAAAGGAATGTAAACATATGTATTGTTAATTATAAATATAGATAAGTAATGACATTAATAGATGAAAAAGTCTTATTCAGATGTATCACATTCATTTTACATTACCCACCTATTGTCGCATGATTAGAATAGTTTTTTGTCTCTGAATATGTGAATAACTTGACTTGCGTTTATCTTTTTACATATTTAATAAAAAAAAAAAGTATATGTTAAAATCGGCCTCAATCTTATAGACTCTTAAACTTTTATGCTAAAGGTTTCCTTTGGAGTGAGCATGTGTGTATGAATAGGCTATTTGTGTGGATTCACACTTCTACCCATGTTTTATGATGATTTACATGGGGGGGGTCTTTGTTTTTATTGATGGTATATATTTTTTTTTTTTTTAATAATTTTATTTATTTATTTTTCCCCCAAAGCCCCAGTAGATAGTTGTATGTCATAGTTGCACATCCTTCTAGTTGCTGCATGTGGGACGCGGCCTCAGCATGGCTGGAGAAGCAGTGCGTCGGTGCGCGCCCGGGATCCGAACCCAGGCTGCCAGCAGCAAAGCGCGCGCACTTAACCGCTAAGCCACGGGGCCGGCCCTGATGGTATATGTTTTAACAGGAATTACAGATTGGAATTTAATATCAAATGTAGCAGCTGTGACACCTTTTTAAAAAAACTTTACCAAAAATAAAGATAAACCATTGCCTTAGGAAACATTTTACTTGCAAGCAAACAAAATCCTAGCTTCTGCAGGTCCAGCCTGCTCCATCTGGACGAGACAGAGCTGGGCCAATTAGGAAACTGGGGCAGAAGCAGGCAGATGTTTCTATGTGAAACTTTGTGGCAAAACGACCTATGATTGGCAAAAGCTCTTTAAGTGTATTTCCCCCCTCCGGTTTGTTGACTGTAAACAATGATGATTTATAGATATAAGATATAAATGGAATACAAAACTTTCAGGCACAGGAAGAGGTGAAAAAAGAAATGTATTAAAACCGGTCCAGTGAGCTACCTGTGGAGACTGTAGAACAGGTGGCGACAGTCTGTTGAAGACTTTGCCCAGGAGCCTGCAGGTTACTGAGGTTTACCCTGAAGGATGCCAGCCTTCCCTAAACTGCTTTCAGGCACCACCTAGAGGCCAGTTTTGTTTCTATACTATCCTTTGGCAGCTAGTTTCCATTCACTTGCCTTTAGGCACTTTTCTTTTAAGAGCAAAGAAGTGGGAAGACACAGAAGACAAAGATACTACCAACTCTTCTCCATCTACACTCCTTTCTCCACAGGGTGTGTGACAGAAGTCTGAGCTGTCACCTGGGTTGCAAAATCTCATGCTCAAACCATACGTTTCCATTTAATTCACCAACCCTGGAGTTTTAAACCCTAGATCTTACACTTGAGCTGTTTGTGCACAAATAGTCAAGAATACATGTGATTCACCTTTCTTACAAGCACATGGGTGGACTCGACTAAACACATCACTCATGGTTCAAAGGTGGTGAAATAATATGTTTGCTCCATTTTATTAAATCTGAGATTATCTCTAAAAATTTAATGTGTTCCTACTGGTATTGTGCTTAGGCTCATGAGTCCAGAGGGGAAAAAAGTTAATGTAATTCCACTAAATTTGAGCTATAAAGAGCCAGTTCTCTAAAACGAAACACACACACAACTTCGTTTCTGACCTTTCTTATTCTTCCTCTCAACTGCCAGAACACAGCGTCTATGATCCTTATGGCTGCTATCATTAGTAAACATTCACGGACCCACCTTCTCAGCACTAACAGTGCTGCCAAACAAGCACAGGCGAGAGAGCAGAGCGTCTCCCTGGCTGTCTAACAACTCGAGTTTTGCTGAACTGGGAGCTCATAAGAGAGATTCTCCATTCATTGGATGAGTTCTGGCTTTATTGCCTAAAGGAAGGCAAAGCTTAAAATCCACTGAACCCAGGATGACTCTCAGGTGGCACCAGGACTTCAGATCACAAAACTGCCCAAGGACAGACCACCCCCACCCAGCTCTGACCTGGACCCCACATCTTGTACAGGCAGGGCTCCACACAAGGTGCATTTGCTAAGGCCAGGCTGCCTTCTCTGTTGGGTTTAAGACTGTAAGAAAAATGGAAGGCCCAGCTGAAGTTAATTTGTTGAATGCCTTTTTCTCTTTCCACTGAAAAAAAATGTTGAACCTTTTTAGCTTGCCAAGTTTTAATTTCTTAAACAGGCTTCTTGTGGTATTTTGTAACTATCTTATCAAGACTGGGTGTAAATTAAGTGTTTCTAAAGGGTAATAACATATTAATGTACCTTTGAATTTATGATATTCAGTAGAAACTAGCTCAGTACCTAAATGTATTCTTTTTCAGAGAATAAAAAAACTAAGTACACATTTCCTTCTGTGTAGCAAACGTCCCTCATATTTTTACACTATGGTATTTCTTTAGGTCTGAAGGTTATCTGTATAATATAACTTAAAAATTTTTTTAAAGATACATTTATCTTCTTCACTAAAATGTTTTGGTCAAATATGACAGCTTAAATGAAACTTTAGAAATTAGAGAAGTAATGAAAAGTTCTCATAAACGTATTCAGAATTTTAATCTGATCCAAATTCACAGCTTAATACTAGGACAGTCTCTTTCAATCTGATATATTTATTATATGGATGAAATGTGACCTTCTACTAATGGAACAATTTTTTACCAGTTTGAAACTTTTTTCAGAGAAAGACCACAGAAAATCTGTTAAATGTTAGTCTCTTACAGGCTAAGCTGTCTCAAAGATAGGTTCATGGACCCTCCTGTTCTGGACACACACACACTATCCAGTCATCTGAGCTTAAAAAAAAGAAGCAGAGAAGGAAAATTTGAATTTTACCCCAGAACATTTTCAGTTATTCTTAAGAGAATGGTTTTGAATTGAATATCACAAGATGCTGACCAGTCATAGCTAAGACATCATCACCACGACATCCAAGGTGGTCTAGTTTTCCTTTCTTTTTTAAATTTTGACACCATTTACTTAGGGATGAAAAATATATTCCTTTTAAACAAAATATTTAATAGGCACAGAGTGAATGGTTGTATTTGTCATACCTACAGTAGATGTAAAAGGGCTCAAATGTAATAATTTTTCTCTTCTGAGAATATAATGTTGAAAATTGCCAGACATGTGGTTGTGTCTCCACCATTTTTACTAAGCAAAGACTTTACAGTGTAGGTAAAGTCTTTTACCTACTAACTTACCTACCTACTAACTAGGGATTACCTACAGTGTAGGTAATCCCTAGTTAGAACACACTATTTTGTTAGCCACTGAGTATTTAAAAGAGGCCTCAAACATATTTGATTTGAAAACACTCATAATAGACAGTTTACATAGAACTTAAAAATGGTACCTTGGACCACACAGCTATACACTCAACAGATAACATTATGAAATGACCTCATTTAACTCCTTAACATCCTAACTGATGAGAATGATTGTCATGATCTAGCATACTTCACTATGATGTTATTATCCAAACTGGTTTCCAGGCTGCTGTAAAATGCCTCTCCCATTTTCTAATGTGACTATGCTGCATTTCACAAAGAAAAAAAAGGGGGGTGAATCACTGTGTAGAAGTGCCCCCAAACCCAACATGGGTGTGCTTGTGGGCTAAAATTATTGTAGGCTTTTGAAAGCCTAGACAGAGGGCTCCTCAACAACTGTACCTGTCAAAGCTGTGTCTACAAGGACTTCGAGCTCTCTCATAACTCGGCTAGTTCTTCCACGTCAGTGGGAGTCCTGTTATATAATCTTCCTTCTATAGGAAGGAGAGGGGAAAACAGGAAAAGGGGACGTTATGAGAGGTGATCCCTCTTGCCTTCTAAGATATTTTTAAAATAATCCTGTATCCTTCAAGTCACTTGTTCCTGTTTCAAAAATAGCATGGTGGGGAACTTGATCATGTCATCAATCCAGATGTGGCCCAACAAGAACAGATTAGCTTGTGGAAGGAACCCAAGTGCTCATTGACTGATGAGTGGATAAAGGAGATGTGGTATATATATACAATGGAATACTACTCTGCCATAAAAAAAGACAAAATTGTCCCATTTGCAACAACATGGATGGACCTTGAGGGTGTTATCTTAAGCAAAATAAGCCAGACAGAGAAAGACATACACCATATGATTTCACTCATGTGGAAGATAAATGAGTACATGGACAAAGAGAACAGATTAGTGGTTACCAGACGGGAAGGGGGTTGGGGGGTGGGCATAAGGGGTTAAGGGGCACATATTTATGGTGACTGACAATAATGTACAACTGAAATTTCACAATATTACAAATTATTATGACCTAAATAAAATAAAATTTTTAAAAAGAACAGGTTAGTTTGAGGCAGGGGCTGTCTGCTCACTTCATAGGAGAACCCAGTGAGAATCCAGGCCCTCGGAAACCGGGGGGAAACTGAAAGCCAAAGAGGCAGGCATGAGGGAGAGGGCCACTAAGAGGATTCCACCAAGGAAGAGAAGCCCATGTCTCCAAGTATCTTGACCCTGGAAGGTCTTGGTCATTTGGCCCATTAACGTTGCTCCTCTGGAGAAACTGTGCCCTAGAAACCAGAGAAGGAACTGGCTGCTGCTTCACAGAGAGGCTGTTGATTGCTGGTAACATTTCTTTACTGAAAATATGTGTATGTTCAAGAGTTAACTCAACTCTCTCTCCAAGAAGAAACAGGGGGAAATGACCAAATGCAGTCTCTCTTTAAATTTAAAACATATATCCAAGAAAGCTGCTAATACTACCTCAGAAAGACCAAAAAGAAATTTTTAAGCTAAAAAAAGGCAAGGAGGAGGAGAGACTGTTTTTGTTTTCAAAAGCTGAGCACCAACCATGGGCAAAACACAACAGTCAATAGTGACTTTTTACTCCTAAAATATCATGTCACTATCCATTAGTTACTCTAATGGAACTCAAGAGAAAGAGGCCTTCTGAATCTACACCTGCCTTAGTCCATAAAAAGTAAACTGAAGCCATTACATCTTTTTTAAAGCAGAATATTACATTTAAGTGAGGAAATCAGAGCCAAGGGAAAGGAAGGAAGGAAGGAAAAGATGAAGCCAGAAGTAGGGTCAGTAGCCTCACACATGCCCTAAGTTCTTCTAAACTTGACTACGACCGAGAGGAAACAATTACCTCTGAGCTTCCTAGTTGCCAACACAGGGAAGTAACCATTACTC